ACACACACACACACACACACACACACACACACACACACACACACACACACACACACACACACGCTGTCTAATATCTCTGGGATACTCGCCACATGCATGTTATTTGAAGCGCGCTTGATGTATGAGCCAAATGGAAGTTTGGTGTCTCCTTTTTCCCCCCTACAACTCTTCTTTATCGCCCTTGGAGCGAGTCAAAGTGCTGAATTTCTTTTTCAAAACGAAATAAAAACACCATGATTTATCCGACAAGCAAAAATCATTGGACTGTTAGGCTCCGCATTGGGAGGGCGAGATTTTATGTGTTGTGTAATAATGAATTCTAAGAAATATTGGTTCCACAGAGATGCTTTCCTGAACAAAAAGCGTTTCCCTTTAATTAATAGGACGAGCTGTTTCGTGTTTAGGAGAATACTACAGCTGACGAAGTGAGCGCTTCGTGTTTGAATACATTGTCTCAACAACATAATAAGAAAACAAAATACATTATATATATTTGATGAATTAATCAGACATGCAATACACCGGAATATTTCCCAACCACAACAGCAGTTTCTGATACTGAGACACAGGACACCTAATTATTGCTACATACTTCGTTGGAAATTAAAATAGAATAAAAATGATGCAAAAATGTATTCTTCTCATTTTACAATAATTTATTACACGAGACAATGGTAGACGTGGTTGATAGCGTAAATGAAATGGTTATTGTGCAGGAAAACCCCACGTTTAGAACAACTTTGTAAAGGCGGGACGGCGCGGTCTGGCGAATACAACAGGTGAAGTGGAAATCCGAAATAAACAACTAGTCACTCGTAAAATCGAACAACAGAAATCAATTTCACAATGTGTTTGTTGAAAACAGAATAAGCAATATCAATTTGCTCCGCCCCCCCCCCTCTCTCTTTTCTCTCTCTCTCTCTCTCTCTCTCTCTCTCTCTCTCTAGCCCTCTCTCTATATATATCTCTCTCCAACACACTCTCTATCTGTCTACCTTTCTCACTTCTTCTCTCTCTCCTTCTCCTTCTTCTTCTTATTTTTCTTCTGTTTCTTGTGGTTGTTGTTGTTGTGGTTGTTGCTGTTGTTGTTGCTGTTGCTGTTGTTGCTGTTGTTGCTTTTGCTGTTGCTGTTGTTGCTGTTGTTGTTGTTGTTGTTGTTGTTGTTCTTCTTCTTCTTCTTCTTCTTCTTCTTCTTCTTCTTCTTCTT